AGAACAGGAACAAGACAGAGATTCCACTCTCACCACTCTTATTCAACGAAGTACTGGAAGTCATAGCTGCAGAGATTAGACAAGAAAAAATAAAAGGCATTCAAAATTGGAAAGGAGGAAACGAAACTGTTATTATTTGCAGATAACATGATGTTATACATAGAAAACCCTAAAGATTCCATCAAAAATTTGCTAGATTCAATACATGAATTCAGCAAAGTAGCAGGATAGAAAATTAGCATCCAGAAATTGATGGCCTTTTTATATACCAATAATGAACCCACAGAAAGAGAAACTAAAAAAAAAAAAAATACAATTTACCATTGTTACAAAAAAATTAAGATACCTAAGAATAAACTTAACCAAGGATGTAAATGACCTGTACTCAGAAATCTACAAGACATTGAAAAAAGAAATAGATAAAAATAAGTGGAAGCGTATACTGAGTTCATTGATTAGAAAAATTAGCATCATTAAAATGTCCTTACTACCCAAAGCTATCTATAGATTGAATGCAATCCCTGTTAAAATACCAACATGTTTCACAGATCTAGAACATATACTCCAAAACTTTATATGGAACCAAAAAGACCCCGAGTAGCTTTAGCAATCTTGAGAAAGAACAAAGTAGGAGGGATCACAATACTGAATATCAAATGAATACTACAAAGCCATTGTTATCAAAACAGCCTGGTACTGGCACAAGAACAGGCATGTAGATCAATGGAACAGAACAGAGAACCCATAAATCGACCTAAGCCATTACGCTCAATATTTGACAAAGTAGGCAAGAGCATACAATGGAGTAATAACTCTCTCTCCAATAAATGATGCTGGCAAAATTGGACAGGTACATACAAGAAAATGAAGTTAGACCACCAATTTACACCATACCACAAGAATAAACTCAAAATGGACAGACTTAAGTATCTCAGAGGGAAGGGAGGCGTGGGCAGTAGAAGATTAACCAAAGAATTTACATGCATGTACGCATAACCCATGGACACAGACAATAGTGTGGTTAAGGCCTGGGATGGACAGGAGTGGGGTGGAGGGGGTTAGTGGGGGGAAAAGAAGGGACATCTGTAATACTTTCAACAATAAAGACAATTTAAAAAAAAAGAAAGAAAGAAATGTTTGTGTTTACAAAAGAGTTGCAAGTATAGCACAAATAATTCCTAATTAACTTCACCCAAATTCCCCAGTTGTTAACATTTTACCCTATTTGCTTTCTCTTTCTTTCAGCCGTGATCTTTATTCTTTTCTGAACCATTTGAGAGAAAACTGCAGGTTTATCACCTATAAATTGTCTAGAGTACATTTCCCCAAAACAAGGACACTCCTATTTATATGTACATGTGAAAATACTTTTATGCTTACCCTGGCTGGGTGGCTCAGTTGGTTGGAGCACCGTCCCGCACACCAAAAGGTTGTGGGTCCAATCCCCAGTCCGGGTGCCTGCAGGAGGCAACCAGTCATGTCTCTCTTTCTCTCCTTCTTTCTCCCTCTCTTCCTCTCCTTCTCCCTCCCTCCATTCCTTCCTTCCTCTAAAATCAATAAACATATCATCTGTTGAGGATAAAAAAATTAGTTTTAATGCATTATAAACACTCAGCTTTACAGATTGTTTGATACTTGCTTTTTTCCTCTACTATCCTTTGGAAAATCCAGTTATCCAGTCAAGAAACTAACATTGATACATTACCTTGTAATCCACAGAATCCATTCTGATTTCACCAACTTTCCTGCTGTTTCCTTTTTCCTTATTGGTTCAGGATCATGTTTACATTTCTTTGTGTGTCTCTTCTGTTTTCCTATATGTGGGATAAGCATTCTTTGTCTTTCATGATCTCGATAGTTTTAAAGAATAAAGCCCTAGCCCGGCTGGTGTGGCTCAGTGGTTGAGTGTTGATCCATGCACCAAGAGGTCGTGGATTCGATTCCCAATCAGGGCACATGCCCAGGTTGTGGGCCAAATCCCTGATGGGGGCATGCAGGAGGCGACCAGTCGATGTTCTCTATCATCTATGTTTCTATCTCTCTCCCTCTCCCTTCCTCTCTCTCTAAAATCAATGAACAAAAATTATTTTTAAAAAAGAGAGAGAGGCCTATTCTTGTGTAGTCTCTCCTTCAATGTAAGTCCATTGATGTTTCCTCAAGTCCAGGCTCAAGCTCAGAAGCCTTGGCATGAGTAGTAGGAAGCATTGCGGTACTCTGTTTGTGGCATTGGTCAGATGGCACATGGTGGTGACCCGCCCCATGGTTGGTGATGTTAACCTTTGTGTCTGCCAGCTTTCTCCACTGCAGTCTGTTTTTTCCCTTTATAATTGATAAATATTTTACAGGGACATCTCTAGGACTGTGCTAGTGACCTGTCCCTCCTCAAGCCTATACCCAATTGCCTTAGCATTTCACTGATGATTCCCACCTGAATCAGCTACCACTATGAAGGTTGTCAGGTGGTGATTTTTCTATTTCCATTATTCCTGCTCTTTTTTTTATCTGTTGGCATTCTACTACAAGAAAGCTTTATTCCGCTTCTCTTCTAATTTCAGCTTGTGGACTCATGGGACCGTAGTAACATTACAACACATTGACTATCACTGTTTATATTGATGGTCAAACTATCTCATTTTTGGCCCCTAGGAACCCTTTCTGAGTGGCTTCTGTGTCATTTTGACAAGCCTCTATAGTTCTTTTTGCACTTCCCTACTATGGTGAAATGAATAATGGTTCCCCAAAGATGTGCACATCCATGCCCTGGCTGGTTGCTCAGTGGTTAGAGCATCAACCCTCGGATCAGAGAGTCTGCATGTACTTCTGTTTTGGTTCAGTACTGACCCTGGTCGGGGCCAGCGGGAGGCAACCGACTGATGTGTGTCTCTCATGTCTGTTTCTCTCTCTCCTGCCCACTCTATCTGAAGATAAATGGAAAAATATCCTTGGGTGAGGATTTAAAAAAAAAAAAAAAAAAAAGATGTACACATCCTAATCCCCTTAAACTGTCTGGATTATCTGGGTGGGTCCAGTGTAATCACAAAGATCTTTATGGGAGGGAGGGGGCAGGAGGATCAACAAAGAGGAGGGGAGATGTAGGGGCAGAAACAGAAACAGGGTCAGAGAGCATTGTGTGAAGATGCCACGCTGCTGAACTTGAAAATGGAGGAACGGGTCATGAAATTCTCAACATGATGAATATGACTTCTTTTCTTTGTACTTCTTACATATCTTGTATATTGTGAAGAAATCCAGTCATTTTATTGCCTTGTGTATGAGTTTTTCTTAAGCTAGAAACTAAGCTACATTTTCCAGTTACTGACTTTTCTCCTACCCTCTTGAATTCTAATATGATTTTTAAAATATATATAATTAGCCCGCAGATGGATGTATCTGGCCTTTTACTGGAACCACTTTGGAAAACTTATTTTAAGTACAAAATAATGTGCCTTGCCCTGGTTGATTTGGCTGAGCAGTTAGAGCATTAGCCCTCAGACCAAAGAGTTGCAGGTTTGATTCCCGGTCAAAGGTGCATACCTGGGTTGCAGGTTCGATCCCTGGCCCCAGTAGGGGTTGTGTGGGAGGCAACCAATCAGTGTGTCTCTCTCTCCCTTCCTCCCTCCCACTGTATCTCAAAAAAAAAAAAAAAAAAAAAAATCAATGGAAAAATATCCTCAGGTGAGGAAAAAATAACAATAATAATACGTTCTGTGATAAAACTTTGGTAGAAAACTTAGTGCTCACCAATTACTTTGCTAATTATAGTTAGTAGTACTGCAGTCTGACAATGCAGTGTTTTAGGAAAAGGCATCAGGTAAGAAGGCATCAGGTGCATTGGTTGCTATTGTGATTGTGTATTCCCAGGAGTGGGGCTCATGTTTCTGGGATATTGATATTGAACTGATCAAGCTGATATGTTGATCCATAACTTCAAACAAAGGTTCCAAGAGTCTTGTTTTAAGAGGAACATCCTGGAAGTAAAAAAATTTTTATTACAAGTATAAATTTTGGATTTAGCCCAACCCAGGTATAAATTCTAGAAATGACACTTCCTAGCTGGGTAGCTGTGGACAAGGCACTTCATTTCTCTAAACTTACGTTTCTTTATTTCTAAAATCGAGCAACTCCAATTTCTTTATTTCTGAAAGGGAGATAATATCTTACAGTGTTATAAATGCTACACATGTAGTAAGTGCTTGGTAAATGGCAGCTATTAAGAATAATTTTAGTTGCCTCGAGTATTTTATTACAGTACAAATCCACTCTGATGATAATCACAATAACACTAATCCTTCTATCAACAATAGACTGACGTTGTTTTCATTCTTTGCATTCTTTGTTTCTTCCAAGAAATTTTAAAGTGTACATGGGATTAATCAGATTGTATTTACATTATATTTAGCCAGTAAATAAAGAGACACGTTAATACTGATACAAAAATGTTATATGTCCTTAAGGGCTCCATATCATTATTCTCTCTATATTCAAAATTGTTTCAAAGATGCTGTGTTTCTGAACAGTAATTGGGTTCTTGCCGTTAGTTGACAACATAACCATAGCCACAGTTAGTTTGACACCAATATGGTTGTCATATAATTACTTCAGATTATAATTTAACTTTGGTAATGTAGTGATTATTTCTACTAGTTTTCGTAGCTCGTATGGTAATAAGAGTCTATAAAGGAGAAAAGTGAATTCAAATGTATGTCTTATATTATTAAACATTTTAAGTCAGGTGGATAGTCCTTAGAGATGTAATCCTGACTGAGTTGGTAGAAACAGATAAAATAGGAAATATAAGATCTCTTCTTCAATAAGACTGGCCAGATTATTATTATTTTACCATAATGACAACATCTGCTAGGGAAATTAAAATAAAATTTCCTCCCTAAGGAGAATCTGCCTGCTCCAACTAAAGCTGTGTATATACATGGAATGCCAGGAAATTCTGACATATTGTTGGAGCAAACACTTCAAAAATATCTTGTTTTTTTCTGTTTTAGCAACTTCAGTGTGTGGTAGTTGGAAGTGAAAATGCCAAGCGATATTTTGAAGCAGTTCAAGGATCAAAAGAGCATCGAGGAGAGCTTTTTGGAGTCTGTAATCTCTTCAAATTGAGGTCTCAAGGGGCTTGTCTGACGAAGGACATCCTGGAGGTGTGAAATTGTTCTCTGGCCTTTTCAGTAATATTTTAAACATGGTTTTCTCCCTCAGGAAACTTGAAATATAGTTGCTAGTGCCTCTTCAGAGAAATTTGTGGTTTTAGTCATTAAAAATATCTTGTTTAAAACTTCTACTTTTTGAGAAATAAGAAATGAGTTATTATACCTCTAAACTAAGGTTTTTCCACGCATATTAATAAATAATGTACACACACAAATACCAGTGCCATTTTCAGACTGCGAAAGAGAAGTTTATTATTTTGAAACAGCTGTTGAAGTCAGGAACTTTAAAAAAAGAGACTTTCCTAAATAAACAAAAATATGAAATGTGTTTTGATTAAAAGTTACCAAATACTCCCTGAGATGCACTCTCATGTCTCATGGAGATTTTTGTTTTCTGTTCCCAATAAAAATTCCACACCAATATTTCAAACTCTCCCAGTTGTGTTCATCTTCAGCATACAGATGTTTCTTATTCTTCAAACAGAATATTTATATCCTGTAAAAAATATTTTAAATTCTTTAATATACCACACTACTAAGGATATTAACCTATTTTCTAGTTGATATTGATATGAGTATCATAAAATCCTGGACTATTACAGATGAGAAAATTGTGTCTTGGAGTTAAGGATATTTTTCTTAACTTCCAGGACTTTGTAATAAAACCTTAATATATTTCATTTATTCAGCAGGTACTATAAAAACTTTTCAAGGAACAATTGGTCCCTGTCCTTAAAGAACTTAAACCATCTTGATGGGAGGTGGAAGAGAACAATGTATAATGAACATGAAACATCAGAAAGCATATATTAAGCCATTACCAGTATGAATCCAACTAATGCTAATAAGTTATCTCTGATGGATGGTTAACAGGAAGGTGTATATCATTTGTACCCTATGAATATTGCAACAGTTATACAATTGCCAGTGTCTACTGCTGAGTTTTTATTTTATAGTAACTGTTTGATTCTGACTTGAGCGGCCCATTTAAAGTCCCCTTTCTTTGATCTTTTTCATGTTTTTGAATATGTTGTTTCTTGTTCTGCACTTGTTTCTGTGTCTTTAATCTGTTGACGAGCGTCGTTTGCCCTCCAGGACTTCCTCCGGTCTCACCCCTCAGAGTACTACATAACATACCAGCCTATATTCATGTTTATAATTTGAAATCATTACCTATAAAATATATGAGCATTATAGTACTTATCCCATTTTCTGCCATAGTTTAGTTGTCTATTTTATGAGAAGAGCCGCCTATTCTTTGGTTAAACAGGAGTTAGGTAAGACATAGCAGTATGACAAGGTATTAAACTGAAATTTCTCTTGTTCCCTGATTGTTCCAATATATCTTGTTTCTTCTCCAGGAGTGTTTGTTCATTAATAATAATAGGACTCCCATGTCTTATTTTGTTTGTGGTTCTTGCTAGGCACATGATTGGCAATCAGTTATTAAATACTGAGTTAAAATTGCTCACTTATTGTCAACTAGAATTTAAAATTATTCCGGCTGGTTAGATTCATGCTGCTTTTGGCCAGAATTCTAATTCTAAGCCCTGTATAATGAAAGCATATATCACAACATAAGAGAAGAATTTCAATCATTGTGATACATTTTAATTTTAAAGGCTGTAGTAAATTCCTTTTAAAATGTTTTAAGATGTAGAATGTATAGAACATTTTTAATCTGATAATTTCTAAGCAGTTTAGTTCTATTTTCATTGACTTTTAAAATCTATATCATAGTTAATCTTTAGAGTTAGATATTGAGAGTTCATATCACAAATATTTATTGATACTAAATGTCATGTACTGTTCATAGAGCTGGGCATACAGAAATGAATAAAATATACAAAAACAATCCTGCCTAAAAAAAATTATATTACATTTGGAAGAGACAGATAATAAGCAGAAAAAAATAAGTGGAGCATAGAGTATTATGATGATAGGTTCCAAGGCCAAAAATAGAGCAGGTAGAAGATGAATAAGTTCTGAGATTTAATGCACAGCATAGTGATTATAGTCAACGATACTCTACTGTATACTTCAAAATTGCGAAGGGACTAGATCATAAATGTTCTCACCACACACACACACAAAAGATAATTATGTGACATGATAGAGATGTTAGCTAAAGCTACGGTGGTAATCATATTGCAATATATAAATGTATGAAATCAACATGTTGTACACCTTAAATGTATACAGTATTATATGTAAAATGTACCTCAATAAAAAATGAGAATGAGAAGGGAAATAGGGAGATTGTCAAGGAGACAGCGTTTGAATTATAAATGGAGAGGCCAAAGAAGAGCCCACTGTGAGACTGTATTTGATCCTTTGAAGAGACTAGGGAAGATGTGATAAACATAGGAACAAATGCAAAGGCCCTCAGGGCTGAGAATGCCCAGCATGATTTCAGGATGTCAGGGAGGCCAGAGTGGCTGGAGTGGAGTAAGCAAGAGAGCGAGATGGGGCCAGAGAGATGACATGGAAGCCAGGTCATACAGGAACTTTGACTTTGAGGGAAACAAAAAGCAATTAGATGGTTCTGAACAGAAGAATGACATAGTCTGATCTGTATTACCTAGATCAGTGGTTCTCAACCTTCCCAATGCCACAACCCTTTAATACATTTCCTCATGTTGTGGTGACCCCTGACCATTATTTGTGTTGCTACTTCATAACTGTAATTTTGCTACTGTTATGTCTTAGGCGACCCCTGTGAAAGGGTCATTCCACCCCCAAAGGGCTCACGACCCACAGGTTGATAACCGCTGATCTAGATTAAATGTTAAGAATTAGACAGTGGAAGCAAGAAGTGAGGTAATGATCCAGCGGAGAGATGACAGTGGTTTGGGCCAGGGTGATAGTGATGGATCAGACAGAGGGTATGAGGAAAAGAGCAGAATTAATGATGACTCCAAGGTGTCGGGCTGCACTGCAACAGAAAACTGTGGTTGCCATTTACCTGTCACAAAGGGGTTCTGATTGCTTGAGCGATTATTGGTACTGTCAATTGGCTCTGTCATAGCCATTTAGCAGCTGTTGAAAAGATAAAAGGCAGTCCTGCCCAGGAGGCTCCCACTACTTGCAGTAATAGCCTTTAGACATGGGAAGAAAAGTATGGCAATTTAGGAACTGTTCATCATTCTCTAAAGATCTGTGGGGGAAATTCTCACTTGTTGCCCTGGATACCAGGTGGCTGGAACCATGCCACTGGTATGTCTGTGTATTCATGAGTTGGACATTTGTAACTCTGGTGATGGTAGTATTATTTCTCCTTGTTCTATCAACAAATAGAGACTTAAAAAGAAAAATATATCAATTTCCTTTGAAGGAAAATTTAATATTCTTGAATTTAGGCAAATTAAATACCTCTGCTAAATGATATACCAAAAGCTTTAAATGTATAAATACTTTCCCAAAAGATGTAGCAAACCTATTATATAATTAAGACCTTTTTTTTTAGTTTCCTATTAGATTGGACCTGTTTATTTTGATGTCTACTACACCTAAGGAATCAATAAACATCTTAATAAATATGAACAATAAGTACACTGGCAATGTAGGCAAGGATATCAAGTCCTCAATATTCAGTATTATCTGTACTGTTTGAAATGTAGACAATGCCTTATGTCCTTACTATAGTTATTATATAGACATGGTTATTATGGAATGATTACTGTGTGTACATATATAACATTTTGCCCTCTCCCTCACCTATTAGAGTTTTTAATGAAGTTGGCTGAAAAAATATTAGTTTTCTATTTGTAAAAAATAAACTTTAAAACAAGAAATAGGAGTATCTTAAGGGCCCAGCATGCATGTGCAGTGCCACCACACCACCTAAGAATTAGAGTATTTTTAACTGTTATATAAAATGTATCTGAGTTCCTTAATTAGCAAATTGAAACATAACATTAAGAGAGCTAAAGCAAGCTGCACTTCGTTTTCCTTTTCAACTCTAGGTTTTAGCATGCCGTTGCTGTTGTTTATCTGGGGTTTGTCACCCTGTATTTTACACAGTTGTTTGCATTCTTTGTAGCGAGAAGGCCAGGTGGAAGCGGGGGTCATGACAGCTACAACATGGCTGAAAGACGAGCCTCGGGAGCACAAACTAGAAACAGTAAGCGATTTTTGAATCGGAGAAAACATGTCCTGTGAATTTTAAGTTGTTTTTCCTCTCTCCTTCATTTTTCAATGTGTAAAGGAAATGTCTTTAAAATAAAAATCAAGGGCACAAAGTCAGAGGACTGTCAGTAAAATTAATAATTTAGGCTAATTTAACATTTTATATCATAAGAACAAATTCAGGAGCACTCATCAGGCATTTATATCTAGACTGGAATTTTAACTGGACCAAACTGTAAGTCCAAAATTAAATAACTGTATAGTGTTGAGTCAGATTATCTGGATCATCCACAAGACAATGCATCACCCAGCAGATGCAGGACGAGATACAGACCAGTCCAACTGCAGAGTGGACAGTGGGCCAGGCAGAGTACATCAGCAGGAACCGCCGGAAGCTAAAAGTAGAGTCATAACCTACACCCCAACTGTTATTTGAGGCTGACCCCTTTTTGGCTCAGCCCACCTGCACCCAGGCGCATGCAATAAAATCATTTTGCTCTACATTGGCCTTGCGTTGTGGACATGACCTCCCGCTGGTTCAGATCTTTTCTATAGGTGACCAATCCAAACTAAGTAAATAATTTTTACTAAACAATAAATTAAATGGGAAAATAGCAGTCTGAGTGTATTTAAGATTATTAAATCCAGACATCAAAATTATTCTATTACTTAAGTAGATATTTTATGTGAGTTCTTGATCTTATAATCTTTTTAGTAGTTTGACATCTCACATACTATAAAATGTATATTTGTTATCAAAGGACCTTTGTGAAAGTGAAGAATATGTATAGAAGAATTTTTTGTTATTATTGTTGTTTGTTTTTAGGGATTTATATATATTTAAACTGGCCCAGTGATTTGGAATGTGGGGTGAATACATTTTTTGCATTTATAGAAATACATGAATATCAAATGTTAGAAGAAGTTTTGCTAGATAAAACTTTCCCCAAAGCTTTTACTAATCAGTTTTAGGAAACTGAAGGGTAAACTTAGCTCTGACTTATGTGAAAAAAAAAATTAAATATTGGATTTAAATGTGTGGAAATTTTGCTTCAAAATGTCTTCAGTATTTTCTTTAGTTCTGGTTGTCAAGATTCTATTCGATCTTATTTTTATTTTCAATCAATTAGAACCATTTTCCAGTTGTGAATTCTTTTCTTTGTTAACTCCTATTTGTTTCCTACTTAAAGCATGATTAGAAGCATCTGCTGGACTACAGTAAGCAATAAGTTGTGTGTTTTAACTTTTGAGGCCAGAATGGGCTTCTGCCTCTTATACGCTGACCACTTGGCTGTCTTTTTCTTATATATAATTTGGACATATGGTATTCCAGTCTAAACTTTTATTTATTTTGAAAAGTTACTCAACTTGAAAAGAGTGTACCAGACTATAATAGTAAATTCTTTACATCTGTTTGTTAAATGTACTTTTACAAAATACTACATAACATACATGTACAAATTATCTGCCCAAACTTAATTCCTCTCCAGTATGATAGATTTGATGTCATTATCTTGGCACTTTCTAATATTTTTGTCATTGCTTCTTACATAGCCTAGAGAACCTGACTGTCCAGAACACAGAGGTGCAGAGCGACCTGCACAACCACTGGCAGCAGAAGCCTGTGGTCTATGCAGTGATCTCAGTGATGATGAATCTGTGGATAACTCAAGAATAAAGTTTGCTAAAAACAAAGCATCTGACTCAAGTAAAACTTCCGGTCATCCTGGACAGCTTACCTTACTCCAGTGTGGTTTCTCTAAATTGCTTGAGACACAATGTAAAGCAGTTGATGATAGTGATGAAAATCCTGCATCTGATGATGAAAATCCTGCATCTGATGATGACAGTCCTGATGAGCAACCTACGTGCCTTTCAGCAGAAGCCAAAGATACTGGTTGTCAGGAAAGTCAAGTCTCTCTTGGTACTTCAGATCATCAGAAATTAGCTAACAGCGTAAATCCAAATGAAAAATGTATTTTTGATAAAAATGAGAAGATTTTAGAACCGACTATATCTTCTGAATCTGATGATAAGAAAAATTTAAAAAATACAACTGACCGCCATTGCGTTTTGCAGAATGTCACAGATTCAGAAGATAGTGATGTCATCTTTCCCACACAATATACAACTCAGAAGTTCCCTCAGAATAAAATGAAGTTGAAACCACCCGGGGATAGATCTGAAGATTCTGAAACAGAAAACCCTGTAAAAGTAACAAATAATGGTGATGATAGAAAGACCAATGTCAGAGGAAGTGGACTAATTTCAAAACAGCTAAATCCTAAGAACATAACCCTGAAGTCTCTTATGAAAAGGAAAGGTAGTAGTGATATTAGTGATGAGTCTGATGACATTGAAATTTCCTCCACATCAAGAGTAAGAAAACAAAGAGCGACTAGTTCTTTGAGGTTTAAGAAAAAAAAGGAAAATACAAGGGAACTTAACACTTTTTCTAAAACAAAGAAAGCAAACCAACTGTGTGCAACAGATGAAGATTGTAATTCTCAGGCTATTGATGATTTTTCATCCTCAGATGATGATTTTTCTGTTAGCCACGTGGATTTCTCTAAACAGAGACATAGACCAAAAACTATTAAAGATAGAGTTGATTTCTCTTCAAAATTGCATAGTCATAAGAAAAATAGCTCTTTCGTACCAAGAAAACCAATGAAAATTTCAAATCAGAGAGTTTTCGATCAAGAGCAGATGAATGAATCAATGGATAGATTTTTAGGTAACTACAGATATTTTCTGAAAACTTTTCTTTGTGTATTTGTTTTGTGAAATTATATGGTTCTTTTAAGAGATTCTTGAATTAGCTTGTGGAATAGATCTCTACAAGCAAGATGCTACACTGAGGCACACAGGAAGTGGGTGGGTGGCAGCATAAAGGGAAGACCACCTGGCTCAACATAGACAACATACTGCCCTTCCCAGTGCGTGTGCCCCATCTGAATCACAGGCCCTTCGTTCCCATAAATACGAATTATTCTAACTTTATAGTAATTACTGTTTTGCATTTTTATGATCTTATTACACAAATGTGTATCCCTAGACATAATTTGGTCTCTCTCTCTCTTTTTTTAAATTTACATAATCTCTTTTATTCTATGGTATTCTTCTGTCATCCCTCCCATTTTCTTATGATTTATCTGTTGATTTACCTGGGCCACCTATAGAGTTTTCCCTAATTTGAACTTTGCTAATTGTGTCCTAGTGGTACAGCTGAACATGTTCCTCTGCCCTCCGTATTTCCTGCAGATGCTCAGTATGTAAGACTGCATCAAACTTGGGTTCAGTCCACTGGACAAGACAAAAGTTAGTGTTTGGCAAGACCATGGGAGGCACAGAATGTTTGCTTGTCTCTCTTATTTTGGCAGCCATTGATGCTTAATGCTTGTAACTATTTATTCATTCAGAGTAGCAAAATGAGATTTTCTACTTCTCTCATTTCTGTTTTATTTATTAGAATGTTTCTGTAAGGAGGTACTTATATCTACTGTTACTTACCCAGTGGTACAGTTCATATAGAGAAGGCAAGGAAAATAATTCCTTTCTTTTTCAGTTTATAGTATCATAAATTGATACCCTATCATCCCTAGAAGGGATGATTTTTCTAAAAGTCATTATGAATTAATTGATTCAAACACATTTAATGGCCCTCAATCCATTGCAATTGATACCATGGTTGAGGCTCAGTTGTTTCATCTTTGGACAGTGGGAGCCTTGGGACATGAGCATTTTGGTTCCTGAGACCCTTTGACATGTTCACCATCATAGATTGCTCTCTGATATTAACAAATGTTCCAGGATCATCTCATATATGTTCTGCCCCAGACAACAAGTCTTAGTTTCTTTTAGTGAGAAAGCATGTTTCAAGACCTCATTCTTTTCTAGGAATGGTCATTGCTACTACTAGCTTGGTTATTATTTCTGGGCCTTTGCAGTAAGCAGATTATATGTGTGTACATATATGTATTTTTATATATGATGATTAAATGCTTCATGAGTTTATATTGATACTTTCATATTTATATTGATACTTTGAGACTATAGAGTTTTACTAAACCTCTTCTATATTACATTTGTATACCATTTCTTCTATAATGTTAATTCTGGTTCTTAAGCATATAGGGAATGATTTAATTATAATGTCCCATAATTACTCTTTTGTTTTATCCCATATTTATAAAAGTCACAAAAGTAAAAATAACCAATACTACTACACTGTGACTCCTGGACACGTGCTGTCCCATTTCTTCCTTTTAAAATGGGCACACTGTATCCGCAGCGTTGGAACATGCAGACATTGTATCATATAGTCTCTGGCTCTTAGACTGAATTTGTTCTTGGTTTGCAGGTAACTATAAATTGAATGCTTCCCATTGGCCCTTATATCAATGTTTCTCAAGTTATTTTGGTTGTCTGAAGCTTATTTTCTAGCAGATCCCCCAGGAAGTGCTCATGAGAATAATATTCCCTGAGATCTTGTTGATAACAGTTTGTGCCCTTTATACTTAAAAGTCACTTTTGCTAGATATAAATTCCTCTAGTTTAGGTTCACACTTTCTTGAGTATTTTAGATATGTAGCTTTATTTATTTATTTTTTTCTGGCATGAAGTGTTGTGTTTTGTGTTTATTTGTTTTCTTAGGTGCTCTTGAGTTTTCTTAAACTCTTGAGGCAGAGTTTAAGAAATGTTTTGTAACTTTACAAAGATCCATATCTGTGATCTTTATAGTGTTCATAACTGTGGTGGGATTTCCTGTCTCTATCCCTCTCCCCTGCTGTGCTCCAGACCTTCTCTTTCCTTCATTTCTGTTCTTTCTACCCTGCTCATTTTGCCACCCTTCCAGCAGTTTTTCCTCACTGTATGGCCCTGACCTGGAAGACCTGGAGGGTCAGTTTGGGGGAGTCCCTGAGTCTAGCCTGCTCCAGCTTCTCAGGCTGTCTTACCTCAGCTCCATCACCCACTCAGCGCTGGAGAGGGAAAAACCTTCCGAGATTCAGCTGCTACCTCCAGTTGGCCCATTTTGCTTCCCAGTGAATATCTATCGGCTCTTCTATGGTCTCCTGTTTTCCTATCTGTCGGATGCCGTTTTGTGTGTAGCTATTGGTGGGTTTTCTCCACTTGCTTATATTTTAGGGCTCTTGGGGGTATCTTGTCATCTGCTTTTGTTGGTAGTGCTGCCCATGGCTTTTGGTAGTGCTCTCTAGTTGCTGTCTGTTCTCATGTAGGACTTCAGAGAGATTGAAGAACCTCTCCCCCTGCCACCACCATCTGCCGGGAATCTGTTTAGTGACTTCTGAGAGTTAGTTCTAAAGTGTCTGACTCGCCCTGGCCAGTTTGGCTCAGTGGTTAGAGCATTGGCCACAGACCGAAGTGTTGTGGGTTCGATTCCCAGTCAAGGGCACATGCCTGGGTTGCAGGTTATCCTGGCCCTGGTCAGGGTCATGCAGGAGGCAACCAATCAATGTGAATCTCTCACATTGATGTTTCTCTTTCTCTCTCCGTCCCTCCCTTCCACTCTATCTAAAAATCAATGGAAAAATGTCCTCTGGTGAGGATTAACCAGAAAAAAAAAGTGTCTGACTCATTTCCAAAAAAACTATATGAGAAAAACTAGTATTTGAGTAAGGATACAATGATACTGAAACCTTAATTATTGGGATTAACTAACTTGCTAATCAAGCTTTCTTTTGTAGTTATTAGTACTCTCATTTAAAAGTTCATGATGATATATCTTTTGATACCCTTGTAACTAAGTACTGGATTATCTTTTGGTTTGTGTGCTACAACTAGATTTTAGGTTTGAGGAATTACTGCATAAACTACTTTTTAAAAAATCAGGTGAGGTTTTTTGTTTGTTTTTTACTGTCCAAAAGGTGTCAATAGTTAGTGTGGAATGAATGCTATTTTGAGTAAGGCATAAAATGTTCCATCAAAATTAAGAAAAATCTGAGTAAATTTACTACCAGAAGAATCCGTTTGAAGGCTTTAAACTGTTGATATACACACTCCCTGGTGCTTTGAAATTGAAGGAGAATATTAATCTTAGTTGTTCTTTCAGTCACCTTATGTAACATCTTGTTTTCGCATGATTGGCGAATCTGGTTGAGAGAGGCTCAGAGGCTCAGGACTGACACAGCGCAAGTGTGGAAGGGCATAGTCAAGGTTCATTGCCAGCACTGCTGGAGAGAGCTTTACAGACCTTCGTTCCAGCCTCCTCTTTTATGACCACAGTTTAAACATACATTATAGGTGCCTAGAAGCAAAGTAATAAAAAAAAGTAGCCATTTTTTATACTTCTTTCAGATAAAAGCTGTAAATTAATTTTTTTCACTTTCTAAAAAGCTTCCAACCTCGACGTTCTCTGGGCATGTGTACAAAAAGGACAATACAAACTGTAAAAGTGAACAAAGCCAAGCAAATGAAACTCCCTGGTCATGACCCCCCGTGCTCCTTCTTCACCACTGTAATCAAGTACACCTTTCAAGTAACGGATGAGGCTAGCACTGCTTTTTAAATTAGTAAACAATTTTTTTTTTAAATCAGCTAGAACAACAAATTCATAGAAACAACCCTTCACCATGACTTTTTCGTTGGCCAACACTCTCATTGCAGGTTTAAGTTTAAACAGTTTGTTACCTAATCTTAGAAGTTCTCATATTTATGAGAGGGAAAAGTCCTTTTCAAGTTATCCTAGACCAACATATTTGAATTCTTTCTCTTTTTTATTTTTTTAAAATACTATTGTGATGTTAACAGACAAACTGAATGTTTCTTTTGAAGGTTAAAAACAAAACAGGCACCTGTACAATTCTTCCAGCACCATTTATTGAAGAGGCTGTTTTTTCTCCATTGTATGCTCTTACCCCCTTTGTCAAATATTAATTGAGCATAATTTCCTGGGTCGATTTTTGGGTTCTCTGTTCTGTTCCACTGGTCTATATGCCTCTTCTTGTGCCAGTACAAGCCTGTTTTGATTACAGTGGCTTTGTAGTATAACTTGATATCTGGTATTATGATCCTCCCAACTTTTTCCTTCTTTTTCAAGATTGCTGTGGCTATTGGGGCCTTTTTTAGTTACATATAAACTTTTGGAGTATTTGTTCAGGGTCTGTGAAATATGCCATTGGTACTTCAGTAGGGATTGCATTGAATCTATAGATTGCTTTGGGTAGTATGGACATTTTAATGATGTTGAGTCTTCCAATCCATTAACATAGTATATATGCTTCCACTTTTTTATATCTTCCTCTATTTTTTTTTTTTTTTCAATGTACTATAGTTTTCTGAAAGCAGATCTTTTACCTCCTTGGTTAAGTGTATTCCTAGGTATCTTAATTTTTTTTGTAGCAAAGGTAAATGGGATTTTTTTTTTAGTTTCCTTTCTGAGTATTCATTATTGGTATATAGAATACACAATATGCAGTTGTTACAAAGAAAGATCTCTTACCCTTGAGATAACATGGAAGGACCTAGATAGTGTTATGCTAAGTAAAATAAGTCAGTCAGAGAAAGATAAGTACCACATGATCTCACTTATTTATGGAATATAGTGAACAAAATAAGCTGACAATCAACATAGATCCAGGGACATGGAAGTAGAGAACAAACTGACAAAATTCAGAGGGAAGGGGAATGAGAGGTGGTGGGAAGAGATAAACCAGAGAACTTATATGCATAACCAGTGGACGCAGACAATAATGTGGGGAAGGTAGGAAGTGGGTGGGAGAGGGGAGGAGGGGGTCAACGGGGGAACAAAATGGGGAACTTCTGTAATACTTTCAACAATAAAGATGGAAAAAACAGAACAGGCATAACTGTTTTTTAGTGTATTGCTGATAATTTTTAAAGTATTCATGGAACCATATTGCTTCGTAATGAGGCATCACTTAATAAACATCACTTATCTCCTAGATGGTGTTCAGGAAGTGGCTTACATTCATTCAAACCAGAATGTGATTGGATCAAGCAAAGCTGAAAATCACATGAGCAGATGGGCAGCACGTGACGTATTTGAATTGAAGCAGTTTTCCCAGCTTCCTGCGAATGTAGCTGTTTGTACTTCTAAGGTAAGAAGCATATAGATAGCATAATGTCATCTTTAGTTTTTCTCATTTTCACAGAAGTTACTCAGTAAGATCTCTGAGTACTCCCTCACAAGTAGCTACTGAAAGTGTAAGTGACATACAAATAAGTATAAAAAAACAGAACATTATTTGGGACACTGCAGTCACTGAAGATGTTTTGTAGTAAAAGACAAATCAATATCTGAATGTCTACAAATACTGAGTTACTGAATAGTTTCCTTCAGTAAAAGTTTGCCCAAAACTGAGGACTCTGAGGGAATCGTGCAATTAAATCAGAACCAAAACCAGATTTCCTCCAAAATTTTTCATCTAAACTGAAGACACGCAAAAACTAGCTTCATATAGAATTTATTTTTTTAGCAAAAGGATTTTTGTGATGTTAAAGGTTATGAATACTTTCTGTGGGCTCTTCTCATTTAAAATTGCTGTTATATAGAAATAAAGCTTTATATAAATGTGATATTTACACAATCACTTTCATCAAAGGTTTTTAAATATATTTTCTTCTTTTTTGGCTTATTATCCTTTATTCTTAAGAACTAAGTGTCTGAGTAGTAGTTTTTCTACCGCCTTATGTGTAGGAGTTAAAAACGCATACTGTATAAAACAGTGGTACTGTTTCAGGTTAGCTTACTTTTCAGGGTGAAGGGGGCAATGCCTCTGAGCTGCCAAGCTGTCTTCATTTACTTGTACCTCATCTGGCTCCACAAACGGTTGGGATTGTCTTAACAATAAAATCAAAATAGAAAATGAAACTCAGAACCAAGGGAAGTATAAATTAAACTGGAAGTTCAAGAGTGGGAGAAAGTTACAATGTAGATATATAGGACATAATGTTCTTACCCAGATATTATTTTAAGGACAAATTTGATTGAGTTGCCTGGTAGACAAAACAAAGGAAGTAAACAATTTATTTAGTGTGTTCTCAACTAGTGCATTTGGAAATGTGTGTGGGCAGTTTGGGTGGTCACAGTGACTGAGTGGCATTAATGTCTGGAGGCCAGGATACTAAATGGCTGTCATGGGGAGGGGGACATCCCACTTGCCAAGAATTCTTTTGCCTAAAATGCCATAACACCCTGCTGAGAAACAGTGCTCAATGGTTGTCCTTGAGGGGGAAATACCAGCTCTTGTAAAGAGGAGAAAAGCTTTTCCCTAACACTTCATAGGAAGGAAATTTTGTTGCGGGGTTTTAAGTGAGGAACACTGAATGATCCAGTGAACAGTCCGTTGTCTTATAATACCCTTAGAGTAAACGTAGTAACAGACTCGGAAAGGCTGTGCCTTTAGTATTTTTAAATGTAATCCCAAGGCCCAGTGTCAAAACACAACTCATGAGAATGTTCTTTCATGACCCAAGTGTGCTGCTTTTTTATGTTCTCACTTGATCTAGAAATATACTGTCTTTCAGTCAACACTGTAGACAGCATTTCTACAGTTTGACTACCTTGTAGGAGCTATCTGGAAAAGACAGGCAGAAGTATGCTGGGTTTGCCAGGATTTGTTTTATTATAATGAAGAGCATATTGGTATCTTCTAGGTAGACAGCCAATTTTTTATTAACTTTTATTTTAAAAAATCCATGCCCTTTTCTGAACATATTTTAATGGGAAAAAAGTAAGATAGCTTGGCAAACCTCTGTAGTAGATGTTAATGAAGTAACTTAAGTGGATATTAGTTTATTTAAATATTTTTCAGAGAAGAAATTTACAGGCATATAATTTCTCCCAAAATGGACCTGAGAAGCAACCCCTAGATAAAGAAGCAATAAAAAGTCCCTTTGGAACCTTCTCAAGGAAAGTTGTAAAAATGAAAATGCTGCAAATATACTTTGCTTTTCAATGGCAGAGAGCAGGGAGGACGGGAGGGAGTTTCTTTATCCTTATGTTTGCAATACCAATAGTTTTCAGCCTTTTCCAGCACCAGCATTCTTGAGGTAAACAGCACAATCCCAGCAGAAACCTGATTTCTTCATAGTACTATTCATGATGAGTGATGTTTCTTACCAGGAAGCAAATTGGAGAGTCCATCCCCTGGGGTTTCTGATGCGCCCTTTGAGGCCCTGTATCTCCCCCATCACACGCAGACCAACTTAGTAGATGTTTTTTGGGGAATAGGAAGAAATTTGTTTTTTCATGACTAAATCATGGTTGGTGTATAATATTCATGGGAGTTTTAAAGCCGCTGGAGCAGGAGGTCCAGTCTCATGGCAGCAGTGCAGAAACTGTGTAAACATGCCCACCTCTGGCTGACTTCTTTAAATCAATGCGTGATACAGTGAAATTCCAGCAGAGTAAGATTCGATTCTTCAGGTTGGACCCATACCATTTAATGCCCCAAGTTATTAATATTAGCTGTACTTGAACATCTTGAAAGTTGCACTCCCTATATACAAAAGTTACTCAGGGACAGTATTATAAACTTAGCATTAAAAAGGAAAGGTCTTACTTGACCTTTACAGGATTTTCAAAACAAACTGATCATATATATTTGTGATATTTTTTAGTTTTTCACCAATATCAAAAAAATAAAGCTACTGTATTTTCTTTTAAATGTTCTCATTGTTTTTTGAGGTAGGGGGAGAGAGAGAGAGAGAAACATTGATGCGAGAGAGAGACGTCTCTCGGTTGCCTCCTGCATGCCCTCTACTTGGGATTGAACCTGAAACCCAGGCATGTACCCTGACGGGGAATCGAGCTGGGACCTCACAGTCTATGGCAGCACTTCTCAACCTGTGGGTTGCGACCCCTTTGAGGGTCGAACGACCCTTTCACAGGGGTCACCCAAGACATAACAGTAGCAAAACTATAGTTATGAAGCAGCAACGAAAATAATTGTATGGTTGGGGGTCACCACAACACGAGGAACTGCATTAAAGGGTCACGGCGTTAAGGTTGAGAACCACTGGTGGGATGACACTCAATCCACTGAGCCACACCGGCTGGACAAAGCTACTGTATTTTTGACATAAAAATACAACCTCTGCAACAAAATCCATGCTTTTCTCCTTTAAGTTTAATTAGAACTAAATAAATAAAAGAAATATAATGAGTTTCATCTTTAATTTGTTGAACTCTGTAATCTTCCAGAGGCAGAAGGAATTTTGGTGGTTATAACTAGCCTATGGCCTGGACTCTACTCAGAGTGTCAGAGTTTGAATTCTAGTTTTATCTTATACTCCTTGTGTGACTATGAGAGAGTTACCTTCTCTGTGCCTCAATTTCTTTGTGTTTAAAATACAAATAATTATATTTCTTACTTCAAAAGTTTTTTACAAAAGCTAAAGGAAGTTACACCTACCTGTAACATGCTCTGAACAGTGCCTGACAAGTAGCACTCAGTGAAGAAGAAGTATTGTTGTTGCTACCACTGGGTGACTCGTCCCCTCTTAGTGCCCCTGCAGCTGTTGATGCCCTGAGGGATCAACGAGGAAAAACTCATAAGTAGTTGTGTGCACCACATTTAACTGAATAAAAGAATGGGCGGTAGTAGGAAATCTGGGATTTTGGACACCCTTAAAAAACAAGAATGTTTGCCCTGGCCAGTGTGGCTCAGTTGGTTGGAGCATTGTCCTGTACACCAAAAGGTGGTGGATTTGGTTCCTGGTCAGGACCCATACCTAAGTTGTGGGTTCGATCCCTGGCCCATGTTTCTTTCTCCTCTCTCTCTCTCCTTCTCTCTAAAATCAATAAGAATAGTCCAGCTGATGTGGCTCAGTGGTTGAGCATCAACCCATGCATCAAGAGGTCGCCAGTTCGATTCCCAGCAAGGACACATGCCCAGATTGTGGGCCTGACCCCCAATGCGAGGCATGTGGGAGGCGGCCAGTCGATGTTCTCTCTCATCGATGTTTCTATCTCTCTCTCCCTTTCACTTCCTCTCTCTCTAAAAATCAATAAAGGAAAAAAAAATTTTTTTTTAAATAAATAAAATCAATAAAAATAAAAATATAAAAAGCAAGAATGTTCATGGTAGACTGTGTTTCAAAATATTATTAACCCTATTAAGAAAGCCACTCGGTACTTTATATTAATATATTTATGATAGTCTATATTAGAATTGAAGCCGTTAGTAATTTTTTCTTTAAAGCTGATAGATTTATTTTCTCTTTAGATTCATCAATTAATGGGACTGCTTCTAATTTAAAACATCTCCATAGCTGCCAACAGACATTTAAATGAGTGAGACATCACTCAGCCATCACAGTAGTTCTTTGCATTATCTTTATACATAATATTCGCGGTTCTCCTCATTATAATTTTTCTGGAATCTAAATACTACTTCAGTAATGTCAGGGAGACAGAATGATGGTAATGTTGGTTTTCTCTTTACTAAGACTATTTTGCAAAGATAGTTAAATTAAGGATTTCTGAGGAGACTTCTAAAAATAATATTATTTCACGTAGATGAGATATTAATGACATTTCAAAGCCATTATCACAGAATTTCTAAGAAAACAATGTTCACAGTGACTGATTTCATCATATCTAGTTAATACTACTTCAGCACCTTTAATGAGTAAATCATTGAAACATAGGTTAGAGATAGGTATCTCACTCTGAGGTTTTGCAACTTGTAGTATGGTGGTGGGTAGCAGTAGTGAATTTGCAGTTATGAAAAAAATTAAAAATAATTATGGGAGGAAAAGAATAAACTAAGGTGACAGGAAATGAAGCAAGGTGAAGACAAAGGAGACTTAGCCATAGTGTTAGAAAAATGTGCAGACCTCTTGCTTTTGAAGACTCCCCAAATCCCCAGACCGCCCACCTACAGTGCAGTGTCTTTCATCGGGGGCTCACGTCAGGAATCTTCTGATCACTGACGGTTCTTCTGAGTGTTTCGTGTCTGTCACCAGAGTTTTATTAGAGACCTTTGCGTGTGTTTGAAAAGGGTGTGTGTGTTTGTGTGTGTGCACACACGTGTGTGTGGTCTGTGTGCGCGTGCGTCTGCAGCCAGGGCAGATGCGTTGCCTTACGTCCTGA